GTGGGTCGGGAGGTTCGGGAGTACAAACAGGGCTTGAGAGGTCGAAGTCTACGGAAGCCAAGCAATCTCCAAGGAGAGAGCAGGCCCCACTACAACTAGTAGAGCCTGTGGTACACACAAGTGGTTGTACTGGGCAATGGGCTTCACTTCTTGTTCTCGTGTGGGCATAGCGAGAGTCGAGGTAGACTATCGGGTAGAGTGGGACACGTCGCCGAGGCGGAATTCCCCCCTAGAGCCCGAAATCGAGGTGACACCGGACACTCCCGTGCGTCGCCGAGGCGGAAACGGGGTAACCATGTGAGACCGGTGGGCTTCGGGAGCGTCTAGTTGAAAGATCGAGAGCCTTCTCGAAATCGTAGGATGAAGGCTGGTGGCTCTGCGGCGATGATGGGTCGCATTCTCTCGTGTTGGGCGAAAGCACTCCGCATCGCCGGAGCTAGCATGTCGAAGTACACGAGATGATCGCAGATGCTTGTTCGCGAAAGAAGGTCGTCATCGGCTCGAAGTTCGGCATCTGTGCCGCAAACAGGTTGAGGTTGTGGGCTGTGTGGCACCACATTCGAAGTCGGTGCATGCGGTACTCCACCGATGTATGACTCAAGTCGGAGAGGGACGCCGTCATGCTATGCCAGACCATCGAGTAGATCAGTGTAGTCCGGGGGTCGACGAAGTTGTTCGGGACACCCAGGAGCAAGACCCTCTCCTGGAGAGTGTCGTCCTGTGGGGTATGAATCGGGAGGTCGATGTACAGCCCAAACTGTGTCAGATAGCTCCCGAAGGTCGGGCATCGGAGAACCTGTTCGAGGTAAATGACGCCGTCATATGTGATTTCCCATGGGGAATCGAAGGCAAAGGACGAGTACGGGTGGTTGCCTGGAGGAAGCATCGCGACATTGTGTCCGCCCACCGGTGTCATCGCCTGTAAGTTCGGGGACATCATCGGGAAGTTGTCGAAGTGTCTCAAAGTCTGGAATCCGAACACAGGTTCGTGTGATACCGATGGATTGGATCGGACATCGTCGATCGACGTCCTGCCCTTGTCAACCACCTGTGTGTCGAGCCACTGTACTCGGAATCTCTCGAGGCAGGACTGTCGAGGTGGCTGTGGCTGAACCGCGATCGGTACACCCGTGTATGGACTCTGCATTGATGTCGCGATCGTCGAGGAGGAGGCAGCTCCAGCCTGGGTCGTGTTCGGTGTAAGGACCTGTCTCGGGTCCGGTTGTGTGAGGTCCACTGTCGGGTGAACCGTGAACCTCGGCGGCACCACTTGGGGCATGGCTTTTGTCTTGGCCCCCACGATGGTCGTAGTAGTCGGTGTACCGAAGGCTGGGTTGATCCACTCGGAGTCACTCGGGTTGTTAGACGCCGTAGCGGTCGCTGGGTCCGTCGGCTGTGTCACCTGAGTGCTCATAGGCGTCGAGATCGGAGGTGTCGCCGGGGCTGCCATAGGAGGAGTCGGCGGTTCTGTGGTGTCGTCGTCTTCGTGCCAAGGATCAGGAGACGCCGGTCGAGTCTGTTGTGTGGTGGTAGTAGGCGGGGCCGTCGGTGTCGGGGCTGGAGTTGAGGCGGCAATCTCATCTGGGACCTCGACGATGATCGGTGTGTTGTCGAGCCATCTCTTGGCCGGTGATGTCGATCGTCGTGGGAATCTCGCCGGTGACAATGGTCGTTGTGAACCGCGAGCTGCTCCATCGCCGGGGCGGAAGGCAGCTCGGGTGGATCGACCAAAGTTGGGGGCATCGGAGTCCGTGTCCGTGCTCAGCTGGAAGAATGGTCGTCTCGGTGTGGTGCTCGTAGAAGCTGTCGAGGGTGCCGTCGATGGTGTAGGGTTCGAAGGAGCCGCCGACGGTGTAGCTGCCGGAGGAAATTGAGATCCCGAAGTGGGGAAGATGTTCCCTCGTGGTGGAGTCGGTGGTTGTCCCCATGTTGCTGGGGGTCGTGAGTCGTCGCGAGCTCGTCGAGGGGATCGTCCTCGATGATTGCCATCTGCTATTTCTTGTCGAAGTTTGGCTGCAGCGGCAGACGTGTCCCATGCCTCGAAGTCGTAGTACTTGGAGAAGTTGGTGCCGAAGTTGAATTTGCGCATCTCGGTGTGTCGAAAGGTGGCCATGGTGTCCATGATCCACTCTTGCGCCTGTGCTCGGGTCACCTGTTCGAGGAAAGCACCTCGAGATGAATAGTGATACGGAGGCTCACCGCGTCGGAGTTGTCTTTGCAGTACGACGGCTCGACGCATGGCATCATCGAAGGTATGTCCGTGTTGGTTCCAACAAGTGTTGTGGTACTCGCAGCATCCCTGGAACCATTTGTGGCAAATCAGATTAGGCACCACCCATTTCTTGTTCAGGAAGTCGGGGTGCAAGTAGACACAGTTGTGCATGTTACAGTTCTTGGTATCGAGGATTCGGGGGCAAATCTGTCGTTTGATCGCAGACAAAGGGACTCGGGCTTGGTCGTGCACCTTTTCGGGGAACTCGGCGAGCATGGAACTCGGCACAGGTGCAGTGATATTCTGTGTCGAGCCCTCGCAAAGAAAATCGAACCAAGAATCAGATCGAGGAACTGCCATGGCTTCGAAGTTGCTAATCCAAGTCGATAGATGTCGTGTTAGAGGGCTTAAGGCGCCTCTCGAAGTTTCTCTTTCGAGCTGTAGAGGCAGCGGGTTCGGGATTATGAAGTTCAATGCCGAAATCATCACGGAAAATGTCTGCCAAATGCTGATTATGCAGATCGGTCTCATGCACAAGAAGAGCAGCATCGGTGTCAGCCGGTAGAGGTGCATGATCGGAGTCGGGGTGTAGGGAAGCCTCGACGATCTCGAAGGGCACCGTCAACGGCTCCGCGGACTCGTCGCGGTTGGTAATGTGCAGCGGTTTCAGCAATGTCGCCGCCAAGTTGACAATGTCGTTCGCCGTCTGACACTGGGCGATATGATCGATGGCCTTTCTGATCTGTCGGGATTGTCGCTTGTTCCAAGCTCCCCACGTCACATCCTCGGGTTTCTCGACTTGAAAATCTTCGAGAACTTGCTCGCGGCTGAATTCCTCAAGCGATTCCTTCAAACTGTCAACAACTGACAGAGAAGCCGTAGTGTTCGAGGTACTGGCCGCCAGCAGCGGTCGTAGTAGGACTCGGGGTACTGGCCGCCCGAAGCGGCTATGACCGAGGAGTGATCCGAGGGGATTGAAACAATTTTTTTTTCTCAAGCTGGAACAGCTTTTCGCCAAAATGGCCACGGAATATACAATCGTTCGAATTGAATCGGTGAGTTAATCCCCTGACCGATTCGGTGATCAAGTGAGATAATATGTTGTCACTTCGCACAAACAAGTGTGTGCTACACATATATATGTGGTGGTAACTTCTGTCATGAACCAATGCTTCCACTTATCTACAAATCACGGCTCCTTGACCATACTACACATCGGGTTGACATGCACAAGAAACCTGACGAACAATTTTTTTCACGTAGGATTCAACTCTTGTCAAGTCTTCTCGATGTGAACAGCAAAGCACATCATCCAAAAAGCTAAAGCAATCTCTCGTGTTTCGAAGCATGGCGTTGGCAGGACGGCTGGGTACTGATGCCACGGCTGGGTATTGATGCCAAGCAAAGAATTCGGTAGCTTCTTTCCGCGAGCAGGCCGCACTTCGAGAACTGGTGTGTGCACTGTTTGTTCTCGACATCCGAATAACCACGATCGAGCCCGGGACTACACCGTCCATGGCTGACTTCCGACAAAAGAAAATGCGTTTCGCCTTCGGTGCTTGCGGCTTTCACCAGCTACGAATACACGGATTTTGCTCGGCACTGAATTCGCGATGTGCGGGACGGCGCCGTGCACCGTCTCGGACGATTCCTTCGGCCTGTTCTGCCGTCCCTGCCTGTTAGACGAGCAGACACCGGCACACTCTCCCCCGTCAGCGCCTGTTCCGGCTCGTGAACCCTTCTGGCCAACTTTGACTCACGGCTTGCTGGTTCGCAGGACTCGGAGGCAGAGGGCGCCAAGGCCTATGGCGTTGCACAAGCAGTGGCACAATCCGAACCATGTCACAACTCACATGCCTCAAGTCTCCAAGGCACCTCCAGTGCAGACTCCGGTCGCAACGATTCTCCTTCTGAGCTTGCAAATGGACATCGAACTCTTCACTGTCCACTTCAGGTAATTACTATGCTTGCGCTAAATCGGTGTTCAGCTTCTCACGGATGACATTGCTCCGGGAGCACAGAGGCTCAGCCCATTTCAACATATTTCAACATGCCTCGGCCTCTTGCGACATATCGGCAGGCGAAGCGCTCTCGCCTTATTAATCCGGTCCAGGGGACTCTTCCTGGGCCATCTGGTGTTTGGCTGCAAACCTCGAGACGCCACGTTTGGGTTCTGTCACAAGATCTTGGTATAACAGGTGCCCAGACAAGCGTGTTGTGCTGCGTCCGATGACACCAATCTGAGCTTCTAAGGTGACCACGCTTTCCCGGCATGTACGCGAGCAGTCGCGTTGGAGCCACATCCGCAATTTGCTCATGACACACTTAGGCATACAGGTCGACTTGCCGGTCTACACTCCAAACAACGCAAAAGCCACCACGAGAGGCTCCTGATGCTCGCTATCCCGAACAACTTGCTGGAGCCTCGAGCGACCTTTGTCTATGCGCCGGCGTGGCTCCAAGTGCAAGCTTCCGCATACCATCTGCGCCACACCAGCAGCGAAGATCGCAATTGGAGGTCTCGATCGAGGATTACAGAATCTCGCGATGCGCAGGAACTTCTCGTGGACGATCTACCCGGAATCATTCGAACGCACCCCATTATCTTATCTTTGCTGTGCACCGCGACCTTTCTTCGATGATTATGCAAGAGGCAAGATGCGCGTGCGGCTGAAGTGAACCTGGCTACTAGGGTTGCAAACCACGTTTATCTGACACAGAAAGACGGAAAGATTCCGTTGTCCCGGGTCTCTCATTGGATCAAGCCGCAGCAGGCTGAGCGGCGCACCTTTCAGCGGCAGCAACCAGCTCGAAGGGCATGTAACTGGCAGCCTGCTTCTGGCGAGTGGGCGAAGACAGCGCGAGAATTTGGATCTGTTGGGTCTGGGTGCTTGACAGCAAGATGGACACCTGAAAGGTCCTCCAACGTGACCAGGACATTCACCTCAAGTTTCTCGGTTTCAACATGCAGTCGAATTCGTCATTTTGCAGGGCGGGCCATGATGCTCGAATTGGACTCTTGATCGAAGCGGAGGTTTCCCTCCAGCTGCGAATGGCCAGCACTGTCCTTCGAAAGAGTTGGCGGCTGACTGGGACGGCCATAGCCACCACACTTGCGCAAGACCTTCACCACCAGCGTGCTGATGGTGCGATTCGTTGCCATAGCTGCCAGAAGGCCACAGGTCCTCTGCCGTTGTCAGGTTGGGTGCAGCGCACTATGCGATGTGCAATCAATTTTCAAGACGTTGACACGTTCATTGCCTGACTGGCGCCATGTCAATTTGGGGAACTGTAAGCTCAAAGTCACAGCAGTGAAAACCAGGGCTGCTGCGTTTCTGGATGCACATCGGGATCGACTTTCCTTAGGATGATTGACATGCTGCAGTCATGCGGTGGCCTGCTGACTCAGCGTTGTCGAAGAGCAGCCAAGAGGCAGTGCTATCAGAGTGTGACGTAGCCTTGCAGAACCTGGCGCATGTGGCAGTTTCGTTGCACTCCTGGGTTGAGACAAAAACTGCTTTGTGGACTCTCGGCAGATTCGGTTGTCGATCCTGCAGAAGTAGGCCTTCCCCTCATGTCGTCCCTTCTAGAAGTGTTGTTCAGCAAGTCGTTGGTGAAATCCAACGCTCCGGGAGGCAGGAGGACCGTTAGAAGGTGCTTACTTGCCTTGTTATTTCTGTTTCCATTGAACATGGCACCATGCAAGCCTCCAGGCAAAATCAAACCGAATATCGGGGTACTCTCTCTCCCTTCCACACACACACACACACACTCTCTCTCTCTCTCTCTCACCGTATGTCTCCGTACATGTGTTGCTGTGAGTCCACATACGTAGACCTGAAGATGCGTCTATGGCAGCCGGTTTCACATGGGTCCAAGTCTGAGGAGTAGCCATGTGATCCGGCATCTGTCGGAAGAGGCCGGCATGAGCATTTCCGTCTGTCTGTCAGCTTGGGAAGAGCTTTGCTTGTCACTGGCGGGGGGGTGCACTGCCATCCTATTTTCCTCCTTCCACTCGTCGCATATTATCTTGGTTGGGTTTAGGACTCATCACAAGCAGCGCCCACCGGAGGTGACACCCACGGAGGCGGCATCGAAGCTAAATGTGGCATCCAGAAAGCCTTAGTGGAGAAGGGCCAAAGAGTCGGCCCCGAGTCGGCCCTCGGAGGCTCTCCGAGGCATCTGCACCGCCCTTCACCAGAGGCTTCGCAGAGAAGCTTCTGCTTTGCTTTCAAGTCCTCACGAGTCGCCAGGCACTACTTCTGAAAGCACAATCGCTCGCGCTGGAAGTCTCCGTCATGTGCGGTAGCTCGATGTAGTCGTTACCCGGATGTGTGGTGAGTTCGATCTGCAGGCAAATCTGATGTAAACGGGAGCTTGTTCAACAGTGTGCCTCGTAAGTTGGACTTGGCATGTGCAACAGCTTGTCCACCTGATCGAAGACTGAGTAACGCGCGGTTGCTAGCTTTAGCTGAGCAGCTGACCACTACCGAGCCGGAAAGCGATTCACCTGACGCGTCGGGTCTTCACTCCTTGCTTTGACACAAGACGACCTCCTCTTGGCAACCAACAGCCTCCAGAGTTCAGCTGAGTGCACATCCCATGTGCAGAAGAGTCCTAAGCCAAGCTGTTGAGATTGCGTGCTGACAAGATTGACTGAAGCCCTGGCCTTGGGACTCTGGACCGAGTCTGACCTGGCACTGCTGGCACTATGCCATTGCCACTGGCGCACCGATGCCATTCGCGAAACTAGCGCCACTAACCGTGTCAGAGAGTCGTAATCCGCATCCGAACTTGACCGTAGCCTCGTGCCGCGTGTGCGGACACTGCCCAGACTTGTCGACGACACGATGAACTAACGGATCAAGCGCTTCAGTGCCACACACGGCTTCAAGCAGAGAGTCGCGACCTGAACAAGTGCCGATGCAACATCAAGCGAGTCAGAGGAATCATCCTTTGCCGAGCCTGCACAGCCGCGTGGAAAGAATATTTACCCGAAGCCACCTGCTCAGTCACACATGGAGAGGCAAATAGCTGCATATCAAGATTTAGGGTTAACCAACCAGACTTAAAAAAAACGGATCGTAAGCAGGAACATAGCCAAAAGACATTGACATGACTCTAAAATATCTGTGAGACAGCAGGGTCCACCAAACCGGTGCTACATCTATCTGGGATTGTCAAAGCTCGACAGTGTCAGCCCCCATCTGTTGGAAACCGACTTAGGGTCCGTCTCGGCGGTTTCTGATATTCGTTCTGACCCAACCCGCAAGTTCAATCATCTGGGGCACATGGCGCAGGGCATCATGGGTTCCTATCCTTCATCTTTGGAAGAAAGCACGTCTCGCACATGAAAAAGCATCCCATGCATCGCACATCATCATACTGCATGCTGCAATCAACCTCGGACAAGTTGTCGAAGACCGGCACCTGGCATCGGAGTATATCACGTAAGCAGTGACGCAGGCATCGTGATGTACTACAAAGCAAGTCTTGCAGACATTCGGGGTGAGCCGCGTCGGCACATCCTGCAGACGCGAGCTGTTGCCGAGATTTTCTGAACCATCGGAGGATATGTGTGTTTATGTTTATATGTAGACAAAATACTATACAGAAACAGAACTGGATCTGGATACACATATTCATATTCAGATGAAAATGCCTATTGACCTTTTTCTTGATTTTGCAAATGCCTGCTAGCCCCTTGTGCGGCGGCTAGCAAGCCAATCCGGCGAATACACTGACTTCGCGCTTCAAGGCGGTTCCCGGCAGGTTTGCCTTTAGGGAGGGTTGTTCCTTCACGTACGGGGTCTCGGGCTGATCTAGCCGGGCACATGCATGGGAGAGCTTTCGGACAAAGGAACGCGCTGTGCTAAGCCTTCTTCCAACACCTCCAGAGCAGCTGTGCACCATGGGCGAGGTCGATTGGCAGCACGCTGCAATGTTCCACCACCCTTGCAATGGCGACCGCGTGAGGGCCGATAATACACCGTGACCTTCCTGCTCCGCTGTGCTCACAACGGGAAGAAGCCTTCTGGGACGGCAAGTAGCAGGCCGCCAGGCCTTCTCATCACACAGTACGCGTAAGGCCTGACGAAGAATCGACAATAGGACCACTTCTCCAAAGGACAACATCGCTCGAGATTCATATTGACGACGGGGCGGGGTAAGCCCTGGCTGCTCCAGCCACGTAGATCCTGGCCTCCGTGTCAGTCGGAAAGCCGCGCGACATAGTGGGGTTGCTCTGATGGCCAACCAGACGTGGGTATCTGCCCCGACTCGTCGTAACTTGGACGTGGCTGCAGTTGGGTGAGTGGAACACGGCGTAGATCCGCGAAGGGACTGCTAAGGGAGGAGTGCAGCTCGGGCTAGCGCACCCCAGCATCCGAGCCCTCTAACCGAAGGGTAGAGGCCGCAGAACCTGAGAGAGAGTGACAAAAGAGGGTGTGCCGGTTCGGGCTCTTAACTAAGGAACCAGCACTAGAGGTGATAGAGATGCGGAGGCCCTCTTTCTCGAAAGACAACTGAGGGATATATCGTCCCGCTCAGAGTTGGTGTGCCCATACAATCCGATCGAGCGGGACCGAAAGGCACAGGATCTCGATCACAATCGCAGGAGGTGCTGGAGGTGAGATGAGGGGTGGAAGAATGCAAAAGCAGGCCAAAAGGCAAAGTTCTATGGCCAGCGAAAGCCAAACGGAAGGCCCTGAACCAAGAAACCAGGTAAGTCCCCTGGCAATGCACAGGACGACGAAGCCTCCAAGATCACTCTTAACCCCTTCTGAAACCACCGAGATGACATCCCGCAAGACAAGGACCCACACCATTCTAAGCGCCAAACACCACGAAGCGTGTTCATCATTCGGCACTAGTGCCAGGGGTTATTTAATATCAGGGAAAGGATTAATGATTAATGCCAAATAGTTCATTGTTAAGAGACAGCTATGTCGTGTAAATCTGAATCAACCAATAACACAATAATGGTTCATTCTATTCAAAATCGCGCTGTATCACATTGCACCGTGCAAGATTTACCCAAAACATTCTCATAATTCAAGTGTTCTCACGAAAGCTTCAAATAAGCGTTTGGGAAATATCTTTGGGAAGCCTTTAGCCCGGAATGCGGCCAAAGAAAGATCTAAAATGGACAGGACTACAGCGCGATTACGGCCGATCACGGGAACCAGCGCCACGCGAGGGTAGAGGATTGGCGTAGGGCTCAGGGCCCAGGGTTTAGGGCTTGAGCTTAAGGTTTCCATCTGTCTGCCTGCCTGCCTCTCTGTCTGCCAAGACTGTCCAGCTTGCAACAGTTCTTTTCCTTCTCGGCGGAAAAGTACTGAGCTTGTTTAGTTGTCCGTCGTTGTTAGTTAGGCTGGCTTGAGCAACAGCTAAAACTTTCGGCGAAACTTCCAACCACGCAAACAAAATCTTACACGAAAGCGCTGAGGAATGGCAAGATTGGAAATAGTGGCTCACAATATGGGCGAACAGATGAAACAGATTGGGAGGATGGGCTCCCGCTCTTTTATGAACAGAACTTTGTCAAACAAACACATATTGCTTCTAAACGTGGGAATACAGATATGATAGACATGCAGATAATCACACGAAGTATAGAGAGAAAAGGATAATCTGCATATATGTATATGTATAGATATATGTACATTCGTGTAGAAACGTACAGCTAAAAATAATAAATGAATATATATATATATATATATATACATACTTATTTACCTTTTTACATAGGTTATATAGATACATACCGTACGTACCTAGAAGAATATACAGGTTTATAGGTATCTGTCTGACTATGAAAGTATGCGGATTTATAGATATAGGTGTATACATATGTATATAGATATGTAGACAGATAGATACACAGATAGATATGTGAGTATACAGGGTCCCAAAAAAGAAGAGAAGTGTCTGATGACCACTTTCGCGCGTGCTTCCTGAACATGCATGTATAAAGACAACAAGCATACATAGATAATTAGATATTTAGATCTAGATACATCGATATATACATACGAGATACACTGGCAGGTATGAAGCATCTGGATATACGGACATAGAGATATGTTTTTGCGTGTATAGAATATGAAAACATGTACGGATGTCTTTACAAATTGTGCGGTCTATAAAAGTAAAGAGATAGCTAGAGACTAGAGCTGTCTCTGTATTAGATAGGTAATGTGATAACCGTGTATAGATATCTCTAGAAACATAGAAAATAGAGATATAGGACAGAATGAAAAAGCTTCTTGTTAATGGCCGTCCTACCGTTTCTAGAAGGAGCCAAGACGAAGCTTCGCAACAAAAGGCGGGCTCCTCAGCAGAATCTGAGAGGAGGCTCAGGGTGTAGTTTGTTGGACGGTGGACCTGCGCAGGGCACGAACAGGATATGCCGAGGATGGAGAAATAATTCGGCAGGACTTGCTGGAGTGTCGGCCTTGCCTCGACAGCAACCTCCACCCAAAATCCACCAGCATGTTGCCTGTGCGTTTGCACACTCACTCACCCACTCACTCACTGACTCACTCACAAACACACACACACACACACACACACACACACACACACACACACACACACACACAGATGCGCCCCGCAATAGTCGGACTGCCTCGACAAAGATTGTGCACAAACAACCGGTACATGTATTGGCACTGAAAGCCGCTAATGAAGCAATGACACTGACTAGTTCTCCCGGGCAGGTCTCTTGTTGATGTCATAGTCATAGAATGCGGCCGCACAGGCTGGTAAACATTCGATCAAACAGTGACAGAGTGGTTGGAGTGTTAGCTGCCTTTGCGCTGGCTGCGAACACAAGCATTTCTGGGCACCACCAAAGAAACATGGCAAAGTGCAAAGGTGAAAGTGAGTAACACTGAGTGTGGCATCGCTGGCATGTGGCGTCGCTGTGGTGATAAGTCTGCGAGACAAACCCTGTCCGGTCTGAAGCCATGCCTGGGAGCAAGAATGCCATACCAACCCCAGAAAGGTTTCAGTTATCCGGCCGACCCCTTACCCACGCCCGTGTGCTGGCTTCTAAGCTGATGCTCTCACCAAGGCTGTATGCTTTTGGACTCCCAACTTCTCATGTTCTCAACAAACCTGACCACAACGACCTCGACAACTCCGACAGTTCATTTAGCCTGAAAATTGCGACCGGCGGCAAACATGCAGGAATGGCCCGGACATGTCTTGCAAGTTGATGTACAGCTGCAGAACTCTCTCCTTCGAAGCATCTAGATCATTCGACCTGAAGCCGTCAGTCGAAGCCACGTCCTGCATCACCTCTTGCGATTGGAACCACACAGGCTCGCCTGCGAGGTCGGCTACTGGACATCGCTGAAACCATCATATCTGCGCGGTAAAGCACCTTTACGACGAGCGGAGAGCTTCGCACCCGTCAGCTGCCCCGCACCTGCCACATGTGGGACACGCGCAAACTCAAGTAATCTCGGCGGGATATCGGCAATTTTGAGCAGGGAGCCGAGAGGGGTGAGAAAAATCCGCAGCGAGCCAGAGGCAAAACGAGTGTAATGCCGGTACCTGAAACCCCATAGGACGGACCCATCTTTCGGAACGGGCTCTCGCCCCAGGGCACATGCGATGAAGCTTGGGTCCAGAAGAACAGCAGGGTGGAGCGAGCCTTGCATGGGACAAAGCGCTGAAGCAATGTCATGCGGTCATGCGCAGCGCAAGTAAGGGCAGATCGAATCCACGACCACGGTCTGCTCCTCGCACCGCCGTATCTGTAGCAGGCACTGCAGTCTGCCAGCTCCACCTCCGGTAGTGTAACCACGTCGTCTAGGATCACATGCAGCACGAACTCCTGCCGGGGGACTGCGACGATGTACAATCCGGCGATATTTCCAATATTTTCACTGCAGTCTGCTCTCCGACGTGTTGGCGGACCAGCTGCCAGGCCTCAGTCGCATGCGCCAGTCGTGCAGTTTGTATGAGGTTTAGAAATTCCGTAGTTCCAGCGCAGCTGGTGCACACATCTTCAAAAAGCTCTGGCTCTCTGGCCTGGCTTTGCTCTGCATCCGGTCTTTCTCCCTCGCATTGTGCTGCTTCCTAAACCTGCTCCGCTACTTTGCAGCATTAGTCTGTGATCACAGGTGTGTAGCAAATCACAGAACCCAGCCCCGAGGGCAGCAGCGCATAAAGCACCAAGGCTTGCTGTTCGATGATGCAAACAATGTGAGCATCGGCACCAAGGCCCTGCACGGCTGCCATCACTTCAGCAAGCCTCTTGAGAGAAAGGTGGAGCCCAATCGGACCAGCTGGCGATTTCTCACCCTTGCCATCCATGATGAGAGACAGCCCTGGAAATGTTGTCGCAACCTCGACAAGGTCTGAATCGGCCTTCAATCGTAGCCAACTCCACTCTCGAGTGTTTGTCGCACCCTCAGGGGAAGCCACTCTGGGCTGCGCTTCTTTCGCTGCCTCCACCGTCACAGTCTGAGCTCCAACTTGGCGCATGCGCTCCAGGACGTTGCGGAGCCGGCTCACCGAACCAGGCAAGTCGATTTGGTACTCGGGCTCCGGTAAAGCAGGCTCACGAATGAGTTCAGCTTCAGCTTCGGGAATTACCCGAACTGGCACCTCAAGCTCGACTCTGTGGTCAGCTGCGTTGCCAGCCAGAGCGAAGTCAAAGTTCAAGACAGGTCTCCCATCATTCATTCCGTTTGCCAGTCGCAAGGTCGCATAATCACTGTTCACACAGCTAGTGAACACATGCAGGAGGTTGGCAATGGGAACCTCTAGGTCAATCTTGTTGTCTCTCTTGGACTCAATCCGGTACTCTTTGAAAAGGCTTTTGACCTGAAAGTGGCTCCAGGTCTGAGACCCTTCCTCTGCGCCCCCTTTGTGACAGAAGGCAAAAGCCTCAGGAGTTAACTTTAAGACCACGCTGGCTGGGCCTTTCGTCCGCCTCTCGCTCCGCTGTAAACGATGCAACGCCTGCAGGACTTTAAGCACGGTCTCCTGCAAGGAGCCCTGCCCAGGCTGCCCATGAGTGGCAGCGATGCTGGCTTTGAATTTCATGGCCGTCAAACTGCACTGCTGGCTTGCTCTCACCAGAAGCATTCTTCTAGACTTCAAGCACCGTTGATCACCGCTTCTGCCAATGTTACTAGAAGCCTACGATTTCGTCAAAAGCATGTGTCGAGAGCACCACCCTCTACCATTGATCTGCAGCGCAGCACGATACAGGCGTGAACAGATGAGGCTCATGAAGCTAGCAACCTGCCCTGAAAGATATCCGTGCATGCCGAGCTGCGAAAGTCCCAGCAAACCCACCCTCAGTCACTGGCAAGGCCAGACAATTAATCGCCGGTCCAGGTGCGACGGGGCTGTCAGTCTCAGCTTTGTGCTCCAAAGTTGCCCCAGGGTTCTCTGAAGGGATGTCGATGGCCTGAAGAAGTTGTTTTGCGATCATGCCGGCGCTGCACGAGACTCACAAGTGTCGGGCAGCTAAGCTTGCACCCACGCCCCCGGATGCATTGGCCACTGCTGCATATGAGCATCCTTGCAGGCAGCATTCCAGAAATTGAAGCAGAACCCCACTTCCATTCCGGGAATGAAGAAAGAACCTCAGGTCGTGGCCCAAGTTCTCCTTCCAGCCATACGGCGCGCCTGGCACCACTGCAATCGCTGCACTAGTGTGAGAGAAATCCGCACTGGCAGCACCCTGCAGTACAAGCAGACACTTGGCTTCGAGACAGAGACAGGGATAAAGAACCCACATTGTTCGCTCCTTCGCCTCTGCGCTTTGGGGTGTGGTTGTTCTAACTCAACCGGCGCGGTGACTCTCCAGGATGGCTCCGGAAGGGCTCCCGGCTGAAGTCAGGCAGAAAGGTTCTCAAAGACCCCTTCCAACCACCATCTACGAAGCCAGGTCCCTGCATACCCACCAGCTCAAAGGATAGCGGATAGCGCTGAGCAAAAGCACATGTCAAACATGCTGCCCAGACGGTTTCTGAGCCGCTGCAGCAGGCCCCAGGCTTGGCCCCAGGCTTCTAGCCTTGCAAAAAGCATGCTGCAGCTGTGCGCAATCTTGTGCATCCGAACCGCAATGGTTCGTACTTGAACGATCAAGTACTGCAGCCACGCGTACTCAGCAGTCAATTCTTGCCATCACATGATACACGTTTTGGCGAACCGCCAGCTTGCCCCGTGCCACGTGCAGAGATGTACGAATCGACTGCACGATAGCATGGCAGCCCAGGGAGTGCAGCATGAATATTAGGAGGGAGGCTCGAGCGCCGTCCAAATGTCACAAGTCGGTCTTGCAATACCTGCAATCTGCACCCTCAGTACTCTCTCACTGGGGGAGGGGGCGCAGTCCCCACGCGTTGCAAGCTCAACGCTGAAATAGAACAGAGCCTAGGTGGTGAAGGCCCAGTGAAATTTCAGAAGGTGGTCTCCTCCGCAGAACTGAAACTCGGGATCGGATGCGGAACCGTTAGAAAGTCCCTTCGTGGACTTCTGATTTCAAGCAGAAATCCTGTAAAGACTGTATTTGCACGGTCAGTTGCTACGATTTCGCACAGACGGGGCCGTAGTCACAGAGCTGGCCCAGACAGGGTCACGCACAGGCAGTTATGAGTCTGTAGCTGGTTTTTGACCTCCTTTCAAAGGCTTTTACTGGATTTCCACTGAGAACCTACTCAATTCTGCAGGCGTGGTCATTTGCTAGTTTTCCACCAACCTGGTCGTTCTCACAGCTCGTTCCCCTGTTGGCTGGCAGGTACGCCAAGCACACCTTTGCATCGACGACCTCCTGCGATTTTTGTTAACAAACGCGTGGCCTAGGTCTTCATGAAATCCTTGTGCGAAGTTCACCAGCATACACCTGCTGTGCTACCGGTGTAGCCACGGGCATACAGGAACATGCAACTAGAATGTACTGTAGTATGTGCTGCGCCTCAGCCTAAGGGAAATGGCATGCAATTGCCACGAGACGCAGAACAACTGATGTCTGCTCACGCATTGGGTGCCTCAATGTGCCTCAACAGCTGGTTTCGGCTGCCACACGAAAGAAAAGGAGTGCGACAACTTCGCGTCCAACACCGACTTTGCGAACGGCGAGTATCTTCAAACGAAATTTTGCAGACATTCCGAGAAGAACTGTGCAACTTCACATCCGACAACCACCACCAAGGTCTTATCTCCGACCTCCCACGAAGCTGAATTGAAATAGTTCGGATACATCAAAACTGTTTCGATAATCCGTGGTAACCTGGTATTGACCGACAGCGCATGCTGCGGTGGTATTCTCTCACACACGGAAGCTGTTCAATTTAATACCTACCTGTCCCTACGCATCCTGCTATCTCCGAGGCTTATCTACGATTACTAGCAACCCGGATGGATGTATCACCGAATGAAGAATCAAACGGAGGAGGATTTGGAACTGTTAGGTTGCATGTTCACACTGGAGCAGCGGAGGCGCTCTGGTCTTCCGGGCTGGACCACCACAAAAAAAGGCGGAGGGGGGCATTGGGAGAATCCTCCAAGTGCATAAGACTCCCCTGCGGGACAACTTGTAGTATCTCAAGCGTCAAGACCATTTCTGAAGGGAGGAGTGATGACAGTCCTCTCAGGCCCTACCCCGCAGTATCTTGTGTGCACCAGACGAACCCACTCGACTGGTGCCTTCTGCTTGTTCTCTTTGATCGAACGCAGAGGCCGAAGGATCCAGCCTCGGCCGCCCAGCAGAGCGAGAATGAGAATCAATCGAAACCTGCTGAAGGCTGTCGCCAGGATTCGGCAGGTACAGGTGCTGAAGGCCACGAAACACTACCGCGGCTCGCCGGAAAGCCTCTGACTGGCAGCTGAAGCTTTTCACAGCTCAGCCTTGACTGCTGAACAGAAGCCTTTGCTGTTGCATCGCATGGATGCAACTACTGCACTGCTACACTGACGATGATTCATTCGGTTCTGGGAGCTTGGGTCTGAGAGTCATGATTGAAGCAGCTCCCAACGTCTGAAGAGTGTGCAGGACTGTAGTTTCATCTGGCTGTATCTGTGCGATGCTGCATCTGGCTGAAGCTGGTTGATTTCTGGGTTGTGCACCACGGCTTCCGCTCGAACGGCGACAGGCTGATCATCCTGGGAGTTATCTGGCCCTCACTTAGCTTGGTTCCCTCAAGATCTCTTTCGTGCTGCTGCGACAGCCGACAACGACACACTGGCTCGGGCCCCGGCATTCCGAACCTCATTCAACGCAAACCAACGCAAGAATCCTGGTGAAAGATGTCCCCGCTCAGGAATCCCGTCCTCTCGCAACTTTGCATCCGCAAACAAGTATGAGGCGGCAGACCAGTACAAGCAAGGCCTTCAGCTTCACTGCATCATCGCCCCATCGAATCTTGAACCACACAAAGGCTTGCAGCGAATCTTTGGACAGCTGCAGAAGGGAATCTGAGGCCGAGGCACGCAACGAGTATGCGGCCAAGCTGTCGCTAGTGACTGCCAGAAAGATCCAGCCAGCCCTGAGGATTGTAGCCAAGCTACTTTCTGTCTGGACTATTTTATAACCACACCCTGCTTTGTAGAATCTACGACACGGAACACCAAACCTGCAATACATATTGCAAAACTCCGCCGCGCGATCTCCCAGAAGGCATCGTATCGGTTCATGAAAGGCATGACTTTCGGATCTACGAAGAGCGAAGCTTGATTAAGCTTAATCTTCGTGTGCACGGGCATGACTGGGCCGGGCCTGAAAGCTTTACTGGACGCCGCGATGACCAGGCTTCCCTGCAAACTGAATGGTGCACTGCAGCCGACGCCCCAAGGTCCCGGAGCCCCGGCGCCTGCGGGCCGGAAAGCTTCGGGCGGCTCCAGTCGTAACGCGACTCTTGGGGATACCTGGCAAGCAGGCCTCCGTAGGCAGCCACCGAAAGCGCTCACTGCAACCTTTCTTGAGGCTGTTTTGCCGATCTCGCATGCTAGAACTGACGACTATGTACAGAAGTGTACGGTACAGTGATGTGTCGATCATCGGCAGGAACATGTTGTTCCACCACATACCGTGCATGCTGCAAGCGGAGGAGAACCATCGGTCGAAGAAGCTTATTTGTGCCAATACAGAAACTCTATACATACTGATCGCAATAGCGCCCATAGCGTGTGCGGGGACATGCATCCAAATGTGAAAGCATCATGAGCCCCGCTTGGCAGCAGGACAGCTGCATCATTTCAGCGCATTCATGCATAGCGGGAGAAAAGCCACTGGCACTGCCGAATCAGCCTCGCCGACATGGGGTTCTCGTGATGTGAAGCCGCAACAACTATTGGGCCCCTTTTCGCCTTGTCTGCCCTGCGAGAGTAGAGCCCTTCCTGCGCTGATTCAGGGAAGCCCGATTAAGGAATCTAAGGCACAATCGCAGCCTGAGCATACCTGGCAGCCTCGGGCAGCAGCCCGTCGGCTGGAGCTGACCCTGCAAAAGAAAGCGCATCACTCTGAATCTCCGAGGCAGCGCAAGGAGAGTAGCGCATCCAAGAGATTTGGGCCTCGACATGGCCGTGCCGCTGCTGATGCTGCGTCCTTTCCACACATCCGTCAGGAAACGCACCGACTCCCCGCTCCAGGCAAGAGATGACTTTGTTGCAAACAGTCCTTGGAGTCCTTGGCTGGAGGCCTGTCAAAACCAGTGCCGAGCATGCCGCGCCACCGAAAACTATGAAAATGCTTTGCCGACCTGTCGTCTTCTGACTCACTTTCCGTGTCAGAAGCTGGAGGAGTTGGCCTGGAACTGCGATAACTGCATCCAAGTGTTCAGCTACTCGACTCCATATCTGAGGCGGCAGCACCCATCGCAGCGACACTGGTCGACCAAAGCATAAAGATGCCTTAACAGTACACAATCTTAGCCTCCTCACAGATCAGAAGTGCTTTACAGAACAGTACAGGAAAGTACTGCAAGAGACAAGCGGAGCACGGCCACAGCAAGACGGGGGCCGAGGCCAAGAAGAGTGGCTCCCATCGGATGCCAGGAGCTCCGCATCCAAAGACTACATAATTCAACCGTCAGAGGTCTCGAAAGCACATTGAGGCAGTGGCACCTAACTCTCCGCCATGTGCTGAAAACCGCGTCCCGGCTGGTGGTTTCGCAGACTCTGCCTGGCAGGCAGTTGGGACGAAAACAAGTTGCTGGGGTTGAACGACGGGACACACCTCTCCAGACTTCCAGCAAAGTCCGTCGCCGCCCGGATAGCCTTCTGATTGGATCTCGCTCGAAATCGCTCCAATCACAGCGGGAGTCTAACAATCGTGTCGCAGACGAATGGTAACAACGATCTTGTTTCCGAGCCTAAGTACAGAGCTCCGCATCCAGCAGCTCGCAATCGGAAGCCCTCATTGACAGGCAGTGGTGACCGGTACTACTACAAGCAAGCAACCCGCATTTCTGCACATGCCGTGCCGACGCCTCTCCATACCGGATCGCTCCTTCCCGAGGCGAGGCTCCTGAGGATGTTCTCTCAGCACGCGAGTCGCAACAGCCGCAAGTTTCGTTTCACAAAACTTGCCACACCCTGTCGTTCTGCCACAAGCTCGATGGGCTCGACGGCAAGGCTGCGGTGTATCCTCATGTGAAACCCAGGTTCGTGGTGCCAAGTCACAGTTTATCCGCGCCTTCTTGCTGCGATAGGCTCCAATTGCATTGCCTCGACAATACTTTCAATGCAAGGCCCTTAATACTGAATGAAGAGACATGCTGGGGAAATGCTCCCAAAGTATGCACGAAGACCTCTGATCCGTGCTTTGACTCATCAAACCCACCGTACTATTTCTCGCCAAACATACCGCAAGGTTCTTGATGATTTTATAAACAATGCCGACCTTTCCAGGCGGTCGACACTCGTCTCCGCTTGTCTACCATTGCTTCCCCTCATGCGGGAAGTGTTCGGGGCCTTCGTTAGTACCGGGGAAGCCTCAACCCAAACTAGACTCCTCTAAAGCCTTTCTTTGCCCGACTGCATTTAAGGCAGCTACAGCCCTGTTATTGGCCTCCACCACAGTTTTTGTTGCAGCTACAGCCGTTCTTTGCTCGGATTCCAAGACTCGGGTCTCACAGATTCTTTCATTCATGCCCGCACTGATGAAGGTCAAAACCATTGCATCATCAACTACACCTTGTGGAACTACACGTTATGATGTGTATCCTTAGCGACCCTTCTGATGTGCCCCTACGACCGACGCCTTCACGTCACTGAAGCCCGTCACCTGTTTATACCGTTGTAGAAATACGAAAACCCAAACACACAAGGCTTTTCATGCAACAAGGCTTTTGAGTTGCCGGTGACTCAAAGCAAAAATAAATAAGTCTTTCACTGCTGCTCTCATTCCGGAAGACCCAACCTCATTCCATCTTGCGCTAACTGTTACTACGACGACGACTAATGCTACTTCTACTTCCACTTCCATTTCCACTTCTACCCCTGCTCCTGGCTCCTGCTCCTACTTCTACTTCTATTTCTACGTGTGCGTCTACGTCTACGTCTGCTGCTGCTGCTGCTACTGCTATTCATTTGGACGCGGTGCGAGCGGACTCAGCACTTTGCGGGCGATTGCCGCATGTGCACTCACAATGGTGTGAAACTGACCCTGTGACCTAACAAGTCTGAAAACCCATTTGTGACCGAGAGTTGTTGCTAGCATAAGGACTGATCCACGCCACGCTGCACCGTACCACTTTGGGCCGTCGCGCACTTGAGACCTCTTCACTGCCCGCACGACAGTGGATCGCCTGTGTCGGGGCTTCGTATCCTCGGACGGTTGTCGTGGAGCTTGTGAGGTACCTGGGAGTGTTGCCAACTCAGAAAACAGCCAGGCTAGAACTGCAGCGGCAGAAGTGAGGAGCTGTCACAAAGCGGAACTTTTCGAAGACAGGTCGGCGTCGGCTTCAGTGCAAGAAAGCCTTCTGTCTTGTGCCAGGCAAAAAGAGGGCACTCGAATTGGTATGGCGGTGCCAGCGCTGCAGAGAGTAAGGTTGGCAGCCAGTGGCTCCGCGAATTGGCGCGCTTCTGCTCATAAACGCCAGTGTCGGCTGCCACTGGACACCGAACCGGAGTTTCGCTGTCAGCCAATAATCGTTAGACCAATGTTGGTCCGACCACGTGTCTCCGTCACGGTGACGTTTGTCCGTCTGAGTAGACAGGGCCTCGACTTGTCTTTTGTCGCGTTGCTCTTTCTGCCTGTTCCAGCGGTTGGCCGCAATGTCACTTTGCTGTGCTCTTTGCGGATCTTGCGCTGAATGCGGTCATCCTTTGGCTGATAGAAAATGACTCGGTTCAGCCCTCCACATTTGCGATTAGTCTGGTCGTACATGCACTTGACCGTGGAGGCTGCGATCTCAAAGATTTCATCCGTCTCCAGGATGTCGTTCATTCGTTCATCTCCGGCCTCTCCCACACTGGAATATGCTGGAAGAAGGAGTGGGTGATGCCGTAGTAAACAGTCAGGGCTCTGGTGTGAGCCTTTCCCTGCTGTTTGCGTTGCTGACATGGCTCAGACGCCTGCCTTTTCCTGTTCCCTGAACCGCAGCCTTGAGCAGGATCATCCTTGGGCTTTAGATAGCTGGACATGTCGCCTAAGGAGGCTAAGGCCAAGCCACGCCGTGGCAGTGCTGCAAAGGCGGCGGCGAGGTCGCGAAGTGCGCGCTCTGCCAGGGCTGCACCATGTGCGAAGTCGTCAAGCAGTTCGCCGACGTCTCCACCATCGCCGGACTCAGACTCTGGCGAGGCTGCAAAGGCCAGTGCCTTGGCAAAGCACACCTCAGTGCCGGCCGGTCCACCACCTCCACTGCCGGATCACCCAAGCCGACGAGCAGTTCTCGCTGTGGGGAGCTCCTGCAGCTATGCCGACCTACCCTACACCGGCACAGGCACTGGCAGCAGCGGCTACGGCTCCATCTGGTCTATCAAGTCCTGCACCGGCTACAGCTACCATGCCTAATACGAAGCCCCCCCCGCCTCCACCTAGACTACCTCCGACAGCAGCTCCTACCAATCCCACTATCACGGCCAAGGCCAAGGCAACAGGACAGCTTCCACATTGGTCGATCACCATCAACATTCGGCCTCTTCTGTGACCTGGTACTGAGGTGTAGCATGGAACAGCCTTTCTGCAGAGCAGGTACCAAAAGCGGTGCATGTGACAGCTGCCAGTTCTCCGCCGTCTCTTCCTATGTGCCGACCTATCGATCTGTACCACGCAGCCCTTCGGGCCGGATCAACAAAAGCTGTGCTGTGCTTGTCAGTGAACCAGCGCTGCTGCACTCATGTCACATGCCATTGCTGACACAGTGGACAGACCCATGCGACCCCTGTACCGCCCAGGCTGTTCTCATGGCAGGCAATGGTGACACCGAGAAGGCTTCAGGTCAGAGCTTTGCATCACTTGCTGTCGGGGTCCCCCTGCTTCGTGTTTCTCGCCACAGGTATCGAGATCCCCATTATGTCCTCTTTGTCCTCCGCTGTGTCACGGTTCGGGCCTCAGCCTCGCAGCCTAAGCTCGCGGCCAGTCAACATGCAGCATTGCACTGTCTCGGCACGAACACCACAGCCTTGCATCACGGAAGTCATGTGCACCTGCAGCCCTTTCACTTCCGAGCACCACCAGGGCTCCTATGGGACTCCGTGGCACGTCACTTGCCTACCAATGCATTTGCACATGCACTTGCCTTCTTCAGGGCTACGCGGCCTCTTGCAAACAGCACACAAGTGACCTCTCATAGCAGGTCCACATGCTTCATTGGCCGCCTTGCCCTACACTGCCGCCCCTGTGCTTCTATTCTAGTGTGGCCATGGCCTCGACTCCCACTGTCAGTAAGCCTCGTCCACGACGATCGCCAGGCAAAACAGAT